CCTCTAGTAATATATTTACTGAGCAAAATGGTGACGTGTTCAGTACTTATTTTACCCGCTGTATATGGATTTAATTATGACATCAGAATGATCCAGGTATCAAAATGTAGCTTTTAAAGACAAGAATCTGAAAATGTAATTAGGTCATTTTGACCAAATTTGACTTAATCCTCATTTTGATATGATGGCTCACAAATATATATATTGTATATGTTTGTTATTGAAATTTAAAGCTTATTTTTGATTGATTTTATCTGAGTAAAAAGGGGCTGATATTATAAGATTTTGTCTTCTTCTGCTGCCTTTATAATTTGTATTGTGATTATATTGAATTTATGTTGTTTTTAATGAAATGAATAAAATATCTAAGCTAAAAAATGTAGAGATGACCTCAGCTGCACCTTCACAGCAAAAAGCTGAAAGGTGAGACCCTTTTTAAAAATAGAATAGAATAGAATAGAATAGAATAGAATAGAATAGAATAGGCCTTTATCCCACATGGGAAATTCAGTGAAGGGAAATTTGGTGAAGTATTTGATGAGTCCAGTCTCACATTAATGAAACACTCTATAGCAGAGGAGCCCAAAGTGGGGCCCGCGYGCCAAATTTGGCCCGCCAAGCCACTTGATTTGGCCCACCAACAGTTGCCAAAGTTACAAGGTTGTAACCTGTTATCCTATGTAGAAACACATTATTTCCATTGGTCAAATGACTATAAAAGGGCTGTTAGTGAAGGTAGTTTTTATTCATGGTGCTGACTTTATCTTTGATTTATTAGGATTAAACATGAAACATGAAACGACAACAAGAAATATTTAGATCAGATTTAACCTCACATGTAGATTTGCACACTTTTTAAGGCCACAAAAACTCATATTTTATCAATTTATGAGCCTTTGCTACTTGAGCGTATGGCAGACTTTCTCCAAGTGCACAGACTAAAACTAAAGAGGACCATTGCACAGCTTAATGGTTAAAAAAATAAAGGACGTTACTTTAAAAAGTAATTGTATTTCATGTATTATATAACTGCATTTGGCCCACAGCCATGAATAGATTTTCATTTTGGCCCCCTCGGGGAAAATGTTTGGGCGCCCCTGCTCTGTAGGCACATTTCTGTACAGAAACACCAGCTGAGTATGACGTTAGTGAGACACCCACGTCACTGAGGATGGTGCCAGCGTATCTGAGCTGTCTGAGGAGAGGGTTCTCTGTGGCAGGCAGCGTGTTGTAGTCACACTGAGCTTTCGTCTTCTCGTAGTCCTTCTTGTACTGGACCTGAACACAGACAACAGAAACAAAACAGGACGAACAACAAAAGTCAGTTTTCTCCACGCCGACGATCCTAATGTACAGCTTCAAACACACTGATTCATGTTTGTGTTGTGTGTGTGTGTGTGTGTGTGTGAGTCAGTGAGGTGTGCAGGAAGGATCTGCTCTCAGATGTTGTTGTTGCTCTGTAAAAATGAGACACTGAGTCGTTCCAGTGACAGTCATGCAGTGTGTGTGAGCTCCTGCGTCAGAAAGGACTTTAGTGCTCTCACCTCGCTGGCAGCGATACGAGCCTTCTTACACGTGTTGTAAACGGGCGTTTCTGTTTGCATGAAATAAATTTGGTCTTTTGTATCTTCAAAATGTTGAGTGTATTTTCTCTGGAAACACAAAGCACAACGGTCAGTTTGAAGACAAAGAAAAACAAACTTAAAGAGCTGGAAAGGCTTACATCACTGAGGTTATCCATGGCCATCCTGGCGATGGCTACATCGAAGTAGGGTGTCTCACACCACTGACCCCTCACGTTTTTGTTATAATCTGCTTTGTATTTAAGCTGTGAAGGAAATTAAAAAACAATCAAAGTTAATGAATATAATTTCATGAATAACACCAGACGTGGTTACAGGTTGATATGTTTATTAAAAACACAGCTGGGATCAGAAGAAACCCTGCACTTTGAGCTATTGTTGGATTATCCTGTCATGTGTCAGAGAGCAGGTGGGCAGTTATTCCAGGCAGCAGGTCAGGCTTGCTTCATGTTTGAAGGAGTGGTTTCTATAACTGTTCAGTCAGTGTGACGTTTGATATGATGCACTCAGAATGAACTTTTTATGTATTTTGTTTTATATAAATCTTAGTTAAAACACAGCTGGGTTTTGATTCGGTGTAAATAACCACTCATGTGTTGTTAATTCCTTGAAAAATTTGATTATAGAAGCAGTAGAACAACTTACCTTCCCTTAAATACCAAATTCTTTCACTAAAGATGTCTTATCTTGTCTGGAAAACTGAACTATGTGTTGCAGAGCTCACATAAAGTCTCTGTGAATGTATGATTTTTAAAATTGTTTTAAGACTTACACTACATACAGCCCGAAGACCCCTTATGGATACAAACATTGGATCTGGCGTTCCCTCGCCCGGACGCGGGTCACCGGGGCCCCCCTCTGGAGCCAGGCC